AGATTTATTGACAACCAGCACCAACTTATCAATATAAGTGGGAGTAATAGCTCTCTAAAATATATGAATATTACATAAAAGAATGCCCATTCTGAAAGAACTTTGTGGTCTTTAACTGCTAGTTCAAGCAGACAGATTTTAAGAACAACATAATTTCTGTTCCTGTATATATAATATTAATTTGGATCATCTGTGATTATGGAAACCAGATTTCATCTACAAGGTCTCATTCTATTCCTTTGTTACAGTGTTCCTACTTCCTTCACTGAATATGTAGTTATTCAGCATTATTTTTCATGAACATCAGTCAGTTCTTGGCCAAATTCCCTTTTCACTAACATATTCTCTATGTCCTGAACAGAAAACATTACCTGTTTTTTAAGGGGTTTTGTTTCCATGCTATATGAAATAGATAGCAGATGTTAAGGTGTGTATTTTAATATCACCTCTGTGGAAAAAATTGAAATTATTATACTAACTTGGACACCTTGAAGTGAAGTATACAGAGAACACCCAAATTCCCAACTAAAATCTAATTGTGGATGCTAGTTGCAGAAGTCCAGGGCATTTTTTTTTTTTCAGAGGATTTGGCAACATGTGACACTTCCTTAGGTTCAAAATAGAGCTCCCACTAATTGCATTTTTTCTGCTAAGCACATCTACAAAACAGGTCAGGGGTGTCTCCACCTGTTGTATAGAAAATGAAGAAGATGGGAATTCCTTTTATCCATTCGCTCGTTGCTTGCAACTGCAGTAATGCTCACTTTTCCCATGGAGAGACTCACTCCTATTGCCCCTACATGCCAACCCTTTTTCACCTTTTGTTTCTGCTGTCGTGAGTTCAGCATCTTCCTTACTTATTTACATGTGAGAATACATTGTTTTCTTTGTATACTGCCTTACCTGACAGGGAAGACCAGGCTCTCGGTTCTGGTGTCTTGTAGCATAATGCCTCCAAGAGCAGAGAAGAAAAATTTCAGGAAAGCTCAAATTAAGTGTCTACACTTCTAGGAAGTCTGGACTTAAGAGAAGTGAGACCTTCAGACAACTCTACTGTGAGAAATGCTGAGGGTTTTTTAGGAACTCAGAAATCAACCAAATCTGAGATCTTTCACAGAAGGAAAGCATCTTCTTGTCACTGAGATGAACTCTTTGTCAAATTTTGAGTTGCTTCCAAGAGCAAAGAACTACGATTTTACAAACAATATGAGACTTGTATTGTTTAAGCAAAGCAAAGCTTTTTCCTTATTTGCTTCTCTGAAGATATTAACATTTTGTCATGGAATTTATATATATATACATAAATCTATGTATTTTTATATATGTATATGCATACTAGTCAATCAGGGGTACACTTTTATCAAGAGAACTCCAGCTTAAAAGTAACATTTCCCAAAGCTATAAGTAACTGGAAAAAATATAAACCAAGACTTAATAAGCCTTGAAAGTTTTGCTGTGGTGATCTTCGAGTTTGAAAGCCAGAAGCCCTTCAGTTTCAGAGCCATACCCTGATGGGGTTAATTCTCTAGAACTTAAAAAACCGTACAGCAGATGCAACATTGCAAATGCACTGTGAGTGCCGCGGTGCAGGCTGCAGCGCCGGGCTGAGGCTCTGCCGCTGCAGGAGCTCCATTCCCCTGCCGTAAGGACTCGGCCGGTGCGGAGCGGGGAGGGCAGGAGCGGCACTGCAGGGACGTGGGAGCACAGCACCCGGGGGTTGGTTCCCTCCCGGCCGGAGAGAAGATCATGGTCACAACATGGCCAGGAGGCGGAGTGACAAAGGATGTGGGAGCTCGGACAGGGGCCCTGCACACACAGGCGGCTGTGCAGGTCTCTGCCTGCCGGGAGTGCCTGAGCCTGGCACGGGAGCCGGGGGGTCAGAGACACCCTTTGTGTGCGGCGTCATCGAGTGAACGATCTGCTCAGGCAGGTGGTTGGACTGAGGGAGGAGGTAGAAAGGTTGAGAACGATCACAGAGATTGTCTGGTGGAGCCACACTCTGTGGCAAAGGCAGCAGGTAGAGGCTCTGCAAGAAATGCAGGACCCCCTCCCCTCCTCTGTGTAGGGGACGGGGGGAATGGAGAGAGGCCCTTCCTCGGAAGGGCAAGCGAAAACCTTCTCAGCCCCCCTCACCTTCCCAGTTGCCATTGTACAGCAGGTCTGAGGCTGTGGAACTAGACAGCCAGCCAAGTGAAGATGGAAACGAGGATCCATCTGGTGAGTCACCCACAGCTTGTCCCTCGGCCCCACGACATGCAACTTCTTCAGTTAAGGAGGAAAGGAGGGTAGTTGTAGGGAGTGACTCTGTTCTGAGGGGTACAGGGGGCCCCATGTGTTGACCATACCACAGGGAGGTCTGCTGCCTCCCTGGGGCTCTGGTTAGAGATATTAGAAGGAAGGTCACTGCTCTGGTGCAGCCCTCTGATGGCTACCCTGTGTTGGTTATCCAGGCAGGTAATGATGAGGTGGTAGAGAGAAGTCTAAAGTCGCTCAAAAAGCACTTCAAGGCACTGGAGTGGCTATTGAAGGCTGGGAAGGTCAGGTGGTGTTTTCATCAATCCCTCAAGTGGAAGGGAAAAACACTGAAAGAGGGCGGAAAACACATCTGGTTAGCACATAGCTCAGAGACTGGTGCTACCATTGGAATTTTGGATTCTTTGATTATGGTGAAGTCTATAAGGCACCTGGTCTGCTGGTGACAAATTAAATAGGTGGGATGCAGCTGTCCCAGAGGGGAAAGGATTCTGGGGCAGAAGTTAGCAGAGATTATTGACAGGTCTTTAAATTAGATGGGGGGGGTGAGATAACTGGTCCTGTTAGGAATAAGCTCAAGGAAAGCATGCCAAAGCTTGAAGGATGGTAGACTAGTGAGGGCTCTCCCTCTGCCATTTCATTTGAGAGAAGGGAAAGATGCTTAAAGATGTTTAGAAATCATGGAAGCACCTGAGAAGGGTCTGGTAGGAAATGGGGCCCACACTCACAGAAAGGTGATGGATTCATTAGCTCATCTCAAGTGCATCTATACCAATGCAGTCAGTATGAGCAACAAACAGGGGGAGCTTGAAGCCATAATGCAACATGAGAACTATGACATAGTAGCTGTCACAGAAATGTGGTGGGGTGCCTCACATGACTGGAGTGCTGCAATTGATGGCTACAAGCTCTTTAGGAGAGATAGATAGGGAAGAAGAGGTGGTGGAGTGACCCTGTAAGAGAATGCTATGAGAGCTCAGAAATCGAGTATATAGATGACAGGGTTGAGAGTGTGTGGATTAGCTTAAGGGCCAATAAAGCAGATCTTGCTATCTGCTATAGACCCCCCAACCAAAGCGGTGAGGTGGGTGAAGCTTTCTATAAACAGCTGGGAGAAATCTCGTGGTCAATTGCTGTTGTTCTTGTGAGGGACTTGAACCTCCCAGATATCTGCTGGGAACACAACACAGCAGAGAGGGAACAATCCAGGAGGTTCTTGGAATGCCTGGAGGGTAACTTCCTCACACAGCTGGTGAGTGAACCAACCAGGAAAGGTGCCCCCATGGACCTGCTGGTTGTGAACAGGGAAGAGCTTGTGGGGGAAGTAAAGGTTGGAGGCTGTCTGGGGTGCAGTGATCATGAGATGATTGATTTTCGATCCTTGGAGAAACAAAGAGAGGGGTTAGTAAAACTGCCACCTTAGACTTCTGGAGGGCAAACTTGGACCTGTTCAAAAAAATGATGAACAAAATCCCTTGGGAGGCTGCCTTGAAGGAGATGGGAGTCCGGGAAGGCTGGACATACTTCAGGAGAGAAGTCTTAAAGGCACAGGATCAGGCTGTTCCTGTGTGCTGAAAAACAAGCAGGTGGGGAAGGAGACTGCCCTGGCTAAACAGGGACCTGTGGATGGATCTCAAGAAGAAAAGGAGAATTATTGCCATTGGAAGAGGGGCCAGGTCTCTCATGAAGACTATAAAGATGTAGTGAAGCTATGCAGGGAGAACATAAAATGAGCCAAAGCGCAGATGGAGCTCAACTTGGCTGCAACTGTTAAGGATAACAAAAAATGTTTCTATAAACTCATTAACAGCAAAAGGAGGATTAGGGAAAATCTCTCTCCTTTACTGGATGAAGAGAGAAAAATGGCAACTAAGGCTGAGGAAAAGGCTGAGATGCTCAATGCCAACTTTGCCTCAGTCTTTAGCAGTCTAACTGGCTGTTCCCTGCACACCCAGCCTCATGAGCTGGGAGATGGAGAGGGGAAGCAGACTGAGGTCAGCACAATTAAAGAGGTGGTGGTCAGAGACCTGCTACACCACTTGGATGCACACAAGTCTGTGGGACCAGATGGGTTACACGCAGGGGTGCTGAAAGAGTTGGCAGATGTGCTCGCCAAGCTGCTGTCGATGATTTACCTGAAATCATGGCTAACTGGGGAGGTCCCATTGGACTGGAGGGTGGCAAATGTGACACACATCTAGAAGAAAGGCAGAAAGGACGATCCAAGAAACTATAGACCTGTCAGTCTGACTTCGTGCCAGGCAAGGTCATGGAGCAGGTCATCTCGGGTACCATTACAAGTCATATAATGGAGAACCAGGGGATCAGGACTAGTCAGCATGGGGTTATTAAAGGCAGGTCCTGCCTGATAAACCTGATCTCCTTCTATGACAAGATGACCCAACTATTGGATGAGGGAAAGGCTGTGGATATTGTCTACCTGGATTTTCAAAAAACATTTTATATAGTTCCCCATAGAATTCTCTTAGAAAAACTGGCTGCTCATGGCCTGGATGAGCGTACGGTCTGCTGGGTCAAGCATTGGCTGGATGGATGGTCCCAGAGAGTGGTGGTCAGTGGGGTTAAATCCAGCTGGTGGCCAGTCATAAGTGATGTTCCTCAGGGCTTGATGTTGGGACCATTTCTGTTCAACATCTTTATTGGTGATCTTGATAAGGACATAGAGTGTTGAAATGCTAAGGCTTGGACAACAGGCCCAAGCCAGAGTTGACCGATAGATGAATCCTGTATATTTTATAACTGGTAACCATTATGTTAACAGGTGTTATAATAAGTTATAACAAACCACCTACCCTGATGTAAAAGGTGGAAGTGTTGAAGCCTGAGCAAAAGGCCCTGAACCGAAACTGTTAACTCAGAACATAATCCTTAGTGAAATATGCATGGAGGATGTAGCTACCTTGAATGTATCTTTCCTTTTTTGTGTATGTGAATAGAACAACAGAGTCATGGAGGCAGGTGTCTGACCCCAAGACCTGATTTGAGACCTTGCGCATAATCCCATCAGATAAGCAGAGAAACTCCCTTAGCTTCTTCCTTGAGCCCCGGCCAGGCTCCAGATATTTCCATTTAAGACAAAGGTGACAGCTATTCTGGCTTGCTGATTTTGGGGGATATAAGGCTGGACCCACTCACAGCGACTTTGGAAGCCTCACCTACGGGTGGATGCACCACGTAGGATTTCCCACTTGCCGGGACAGGCTCTGCAAACCCTCGCTGTAACCGGGGCTGCCCAGCCACTGCGGGTCTGGGTGATGGTAACGTAGGCAAGTGGTGATGGATCTTTCTTAGTCACTATTCTCTCTCTCTCAGGTAGTAATGATTTGATGCATTACCCTGTATTTTCCTATTTAAGTGCACTATTGGTTTTTTTTTCTTACTGTATGCCTTCTGTATTATTCTGTAATATTATTTAGTTATTTCTAGTAAAATACACCTCTTCACTCTGGTGTCTGATTTTAATTGGTAACCCTAATCAGCAAAACAAGTGTACGATCAGTAAATTCACAGATGACACCAAGTTAAGCAGGAGTGTCGATCTGCATGAAGATAGGGAGGCTCTACAGAGAGACTTGGATAGGTTGGATTGGTGGGCCAACATTAATGGGATGAGCTTCAACAAGGCCCAGTGCCAGGTCCTGCACTTGGGCCACACAACCCCCTGCATGGCTACAGGCCTGGGGAGGTGTGGCTGGAGAGCTGTCTGGGAGAGAATGATCTGGGGGTTCTCACTGACAAGCAGCTGAACATGAGCCAGCAGGGTGCCCAGGTGGCCAAGAAAGCCAACGGCATCCTGGCTTGGATTAGAAATAGTGTGACCAGCAGAAGTAGGGAGGTGATAGTGCCCCTGTGCTCTGCGCTGGTGAGGCCACACCTGGAGTGTTGTGTCCAGTTTTGGGCACCTCAATACGAGAGAGATATCGAGGTGCTGGAGCGAGTGCAGAGGAGGGCAACAAAGCTGGTGAAGGAGAAATTGAAGATACTGGGACTGTCTAGTTTGAGGAGGAGAAGGCTAAGGGGAGACCTCATCACTCTCTACAACTACCTGAAAGGGCATTGTAGAGAGGTTGTTGCTGGTCTCTTCTCACAGGGAATTAGTGACAGAACAAGAAGGAATGGCTTTAAACTGCAACAGGGGAGGTTCAGACTGGACATTAGGAAAAATGTCCCTGGATGTGTTTAAGGGTCATTTAGATGAGATGTTGGGGGATATGTTGTAGGAGTGAACTTTGTAGAGTAGGGCTGATGGTTGGACTCGATGATCCCAAGGGTCTTTTCCAACCTTAATGATTCTGTGATTGTAAATGCTTTAGAAAAAACCTCAAATATTATGTTGGAATTGGGGGGGCACTGCTTTGTACCATTGAACAGTTGAAATAGTTATAAACAGCTATTGCCTGCCCTACATCTTCTTTAAAACAAACTTGAATTTTCCTTTATTTTGGTCCAACCATCTCTTTTACATTTTGTTTTATTCATAGCTGTTAGCCTCTATTCTAATCATAAATTTATTTCACTTCATGATGGAATGTATCCTGTGTTGAGAAAATGTTTTGGGATGAAAATTACATGTAAGGATTAGGTGTTATTTTTAATATACCTATCATGTTCCTTTCTAATAAACCGTTTACCACACAAAATGCACATTGCAGTGCATTTGTTTTGAATATTATTATATTAAATATTATCAGTCTAATCTAACAAACTGACATAGACATTTAAGGTTAAGGCAAAGACTTTCAATGTATTATTTTCAAAATAATTTCTTAATTATGCATATTACTCCAGTGTGGGTTTTAAACTTATTTTGCTTTCCAGAATGTGAGTAATATGATTTTCATTAACTGTCCTTGATGTGATGAAGAATCCCATAGTGCTAATATTTCAGGAGTTTAAACCCAGTCTTAACTTTGATCCACTAAATCTCACTTGTTTTGGCAGATGTCCTAAATGGAATCATATGAAGAAACTTCTCATGAAGACCTGCAAGGTACCTGTATATTACCAAAATTATTTGACTTAGAGAAGGGTAATTTATCACTGCAGTGGTATAAGTGAAAGTCCTCAAAAAACCTCATTTGCATGAGCACAAGTCATAGTTACATCTCTTAAATAAATGTTGTTACCAAATAATTAAAATTTTGAAATATAAATTGTAATACATGATATGTCTTATGTCTTGAAAATTACCTTTATTAAAATATATCTTAAAATAAGAAGAATTCACAGTTTATAACAAAATGGCTGGCTGAAGCTACATTAAAGAATTTCACATTTCTTACACAGTTTAACCATGTGGGCCATTTTGTGTAATTTGCATCTTTTGTGAGAGCTGACTGAGTAGGGGCAGAATGGAAATGGAGATTGCCAAGGAATAGGCAGGAGAACTGCTTCTCCACAAACTGTTAAGGTTGCATCTGATGGGGCAGTGGGTTTGCTGCCTGTGGTGATAAATATGAGTCAGCCCTTTTCAGAAATCCTTCTGGGGTAACATTCCCTTCTTAACGATGAAATACTAGCCATGATTTTCCTGAGCAGTTTCTAACATGAGTAGCTTTCATGTGAAATTTGATTTGGTTGCAGAACCAGAGATGCATAAACCAGTTGGTGAGTTGCTGTGTTGGTACAGCCTAAGAGACCATTTCCAGCTACAATGGGAAGAGGCTTTATGCTTATCTTTGATCATTTGTTTCTTTTTGTACTTTCTTCCTTCTCCATCTCTGGAAAATAGTAGCTATCATCCTCCATGTTTCATACTACAACAGAAAGAAATATGAAGCAGATTGATTTTCTTCTCTAACGATACTTACCTAATGACATTTCTAAAAGATAAATTTGAAGTTAAACATCACAGCTATTAATAAGGGATTAGATACATTGCCACATGCAGAACTGTATTGTACAGTAACATTTTAATGCTAAATTTCTCTTCAGAAAAGTACTCATTATTGTTCATATATTTCACAAATACTATAACCATATTAATCATAGAAACAGAGAATGGTTTGGGTTGGAAGAGACCTTAAAGATCATCTCGTTCCAATATCCTCTGCCATGGGCAGGGACACCTTCCACTAGACCAGGTTGCTCAAAGCCCCGTCCAACCTGGCCTTGAACAGTTCCAGGGAAGGGACATCTACAGCCTCTCCAGGCAACCCGTTACTGTGTCTCAGCACCCTCACATGAAAGAATTTATTCCTCATATCTAACGTAAATCTAACCTCTTTCAGCTTAAAACCATTAACCCTTGTCCTATCACTACAGTCCCTGATAAAGGGCCCCTCCCCATCTTTCCTGTAGCCCCCTTTAAGTACTGGAAGGCCGCTCTAAGGTCTGCCCTGAGCCTTCTCTTCTCTAGGCTGCTCAACTCCAACTCTCTCAGCCTGTCCTCATAAGGGAGATGCTCCAGCCCCCTGATCATCTTTGTGGTCCTCCTCTGGACCCACTCAATCAGGTCTATGTCCTTCTTATGTTGGGGGCCCCAGAGCTGGACACAGAACTCCAGGTGGGTCTTATAAGAGCAGAGTAGAGGGAGAGAATCAACTCCCTTGACCTTCTGGCCACACTTCTCTTGATGCAGCCCAGGATACAGTCGGCTTTCTGGGCTGTGAGTGCACATTGCTGGCTCATAGTCACTTTTCCATCCACTAATACCCCCAAGTCTTTCTCCTCAGGGCTGCTCTCAATCCACTCATTTCCCAGCCTGTATTTGTGCTGGGGATTGCCCTGACCCATGGACAGGACCTTCCACTTGGCCTTGTTAAACTTCTTGAGGTTTGCATGGTCCCACCTCTCAAGCCAGTCCAGGTCCCTCCGGATGGCACATCCCTTCCCTCCAGCATGTCAACCGCACCACACAGCTTGGTGTTGTCAGAAAACTTGATGAGGGTGCACTCAATCCCACTGTTCATGTCACCAGGATGTTAAACAGCATCAGTCCCTGTATCAACCCCTGAGGAACACCACTCGTCACTGCTTTCCACTTGGATATTGAGCAGTTGAGTGAAACTCTTTGAGTGCCACCATCCAGCCAATTCCTTATCCAGCGAATGGTCCATCCATCAAATCCATGTCTCTCCAATGTAGAGACAAGGATGTTGTGTGGGACTGTGTCAAATGCTTTGCACAAGTCCAGGTAGATGATGATCTACCTGGATGATGATTTCAGATATTAGAATATAGTGGATACGTTATCATTATCATGTGAACAAAACATCCTCAATTCAAAGAAAGTGTATTTTTGTGAAAAATTTGGTTGGGACACACACTATCTAATATCTTTTTAAGTATCAAGTACTAGGAATGAAGCACGAGTACCAAAAAAACACAAACAAACCCAAGCCCCCAGATCCTCAAAATAATGATATTTTGCTTTAAAGCATATCACAAACCTTACAGCTCATGGAGAATGAGAAAACCTTCCCTGTATTGCTAATGGCACAAGGAAAAAGAGATAGTAGGTCTTACGTAAGTTTGTCAAGTTAATTGTAAATTGTAATAACTTTTCAAAATGAGAATACTTCAGTCTGTGGCACTTATTTTATTTTCATACAAACTGTATTTGGAGTATAACCATTTAACACCAGGTCTCTACCATTTGGAGACTCTGTAGGTAGTGCAAATATCTTCTGTGAGCTGATTTATAAGTAGGCACATAGCAAGGAGGCCATACAACAGTGTATTCCCACTTCTGATATCTGGAGGTGAGAGTGTGAATCATCTCTTAAAAAAAACCCCAAAGGGATTTCTGATTTTCACGTTCACTGGATATTTGGATTACAAAAGAAACTTGGACTAAAGGCAGATCTCAGCCCCCAAGGACATGCTCCTTCAGCAAAACCTGAGTAAAACCCCAAGTTGTAGCTTAACTTGTAGAACTGCACGTGTTTCCCAGTGAGGTCTCTAGTCTAGAGACACAGTACATTCTCTTGGTATCCATAGTAAAACTATGTCCTTCTATGTATTCTGAATTATTTTCATTTGCAGATCTTAAAATGTGGGCATATTTAGTTACTCTGCCCTGAAGTAAAGCTTCCATATGGTCCTTCTTGTTATCAGGGGCAATTAGTTTGGTTATCTAAATGAAAAATGGTAGTAATCTTCAAAGAGGCAATGAATAAATTCAGAGAACCAAAACATCACGTATTACAAGATGTTCTTGTTGATTTTTAATCTTTTCATATATTAAAAATGTAATATCCCTTTCAGGAGTCCTGGATTCTTTCCCCATAAAATGCCATTACAGATACAGAATTCAGAGGGTGTTGTAGTTTAAATCTTTCCATGTATTAAAAATGTAATGTTCTTTCCAGATGGCCTGGACACTTTACTCTTGATATGCCACTGCAGGTATAGAATTCAGAGGGGGTTGTGACTGCTTTTTTTCACGTGGTCTGAAGGACCTCTGCTTTTCTGATACTGTCAACAAAAAGCAAAGCTCCTTCTGTATTATTTAATTATGAGGTATGGGATCTTTTGTAATAGCCAGTACTTCATTTGAATCATAAAAAGTAATTAAAAGCAGATAGTCATAGGTTTTGTCTACATATATTCTACCATATTAATGGTTTTGAATCAAAACTGCCCCATGCAATCACAAAACTTCAAACACAAGCTCAGAAGAGAAAGCTCAGTCTATGTCTATGATTTAAAACATGCTCAGTATGACAGACTGCAGCAGTCAACTTCAAGGTAAAGCTGCTCTTCCACAAATGGTTGAAATAATTCTTCATTATTTACTCTCCACCTGCCAGAACTACCAGTTGTAGAAATATTTCCTAGCTGAGCTTTGCAACCTTTCTGTGAAGATCCATTATGTTACAGATTAAGGTTTAGCTAGAGAAATAGTCTGGTTTTCTCAGTTTTGGAAGTCATGTCTGCTGCCTCCTCTGTCCTTAGAAAGATTTTCATCCATCCTCGAACTGAAATAAACCCCAACCATAAAATAGAGGAATTATAATGAAACCAGAGAAAGCACCTGCCTCATAATTTGAATTACTTGTTTCATGAGAATAAAGCTTAATCTATAGAGCATTTTTAAACACAAAAGTATGCTGAGTCAAATCTAATTATGGTATGACCAATTATTCAGTATTATTAGGTTTTATTAGCCCTGATCATACACTGAATGAAACATCTGTAGCCTAACAGCAAAATTTACTTGAACAATTACATTGTTTAAAGAATGTACAACTGTGTACAATATAATCAGCTACTTGTAAAGCTCATAGGAGAAATAGCCGGTGACAGTCTGTTGGCATTTAACGAGCTCCACAGTCTCTTCCCTTTTATATTCAGCATTATTCCTAAAAAATTTGAAACTTGGTCAGTGACTTTTAGAATATTTTTACCAAAGCGTCAGAAAATCATGTAAATCTGTTATCTCTGCAGCTCAGTTCAGTATGATTTGATATGTAAACAGAGCGTAGAGCAATCCACACAGCTGAATGAACCTGGGATTGTCCACTTGCTGGTAACTTTTTTCACAACAGCCCCTATGATGCTGTTTTGGATTTGTGGCTAAGACACACCAACGTCATTGGTTATGACATTGATAACACACCAGTGTTTTGGCTAATGCTGAACAATGATTGCACAACATCCAATTGTATCATATTAATGAGTGGGAAGAAGCAATTGACAGGACTTTAAACAAAAAATAAGCAGAATTGCTTGATTAGGTATCCACCTAATAAACATTATTTCCACCTTATATAAAAATTGGGACTAAACTGAAGTTGCCCAGAATACTGTTTTGCCCCAAAGAGCAGACCAGTCCCTAACTCTGTCTACATTCATTGATGATATTTTGTCTCCAGGAGAAAGCTGTTCAAAGCAGAACTGTGATTCAGGCAATCTGTATTACCTTTCCTCTCTAGGGAGTCTAGAAAGAAAAGAATTTCATGTCACAGGTTAATTTTGATAGTGTGATTATGTTTGGGTATCCTCTCCCAGAGAATTTAAGAGAAAAATCCTTTCTTGCTCCTGTGGAAGACAACAGGAGTTTTTCTGTGACACTGTTTGAAGTAGCAGTGTTTAAAGCAGTCATTAATCCTGCTGAGTGACCAGGAGGTGAGTGAATTCTATGTTGATGAATATACTCTCTAACTATCATTTCTTATTTCTGAAATGCAGTTTCATATCATAGAGCATGCAGTCATCCCTGTTTTTCAGTCCTTATAGAAGCCAAGCTTCCACCAGAAAGTGTAAAATCTGTTAGTTTGACTGTTTTTCAAAAGACTGTCCTCAACACTTTAGATTTTCTTCCTTTTCACCTCCTTGGCATATTACAGAAAGCATAGATAGGGTACCCCAAAGTATTCCGGTATTCCATGTTGTACGTGTCCGTGCACCCTTTCATTTGTATCGTGTCCTGGAAGACTGCAAAGAAATGCAAATTGACAAAGGAGCCCATGCTGCACTGCAAGTACTTCACCTGATGAATGATGCTGTATTATGTCTGGACAACCCAGTAGTTCGTGTGTTCTGGACTTTTAGTACATTTCTAGTCATATAGGCCAACAATATAAATTACATACCTCAACTGTCTAACCTAAAAAGAGAAACTAATGCCTTTTTATATGATACCTTCTGGCTTATTTCTTAGCTTTAAAAAATATCTAGCAATTAAAAATAATGTGGAGAGGAAATAATAATTTTAAAGTACATAAAATGTTTAACAACTTGTAAAAAATAATAGGAGATTTATGATTTCTGATTGCCAGTAACATCTATCATTGCCCCTTTAGAAAAGTCATATCATCTACAATTCTGGTATTTTTTATTAACACCAAATTTACATGAGGTTCCTTGGAAAACTGGAAAGCTACTCTGCAAAGACCAAGATATTGAAATTATTATTCTCCCTCAAGATGATAAGAAAACTCCATTTAGTCTTTATTAAGTTATTCCACTGCAATTTCAGATATTTTATAGAGTTCTGTAGCCTCTGTTCTCTGCTTACTGTTACCACTAAGTGGAATATTTAGACGTAACTTTAACAGAATGACATAACACATTGCAGGACTCTTTCAAATGACACTTCCAAGAATACAGTAGTGACAAGTTTTTATTATAATATAATTTCTGTGCATCTTAGTGAAAACACACATAGACTGAACTTGTATGGAGACCAATATATTATATAGTACTGTTTGCATCACCATACCTCAGTAGGTCTCTTCTGTAGAACACAAACTTAAAGTTGAGCTGACAAATCTTTAGTGTGAAAGGACTAGACTTTCCATATAATATTCAGTTGCCAAGAAACAAGAGTGAAAATATCAGAGAGTTTAGATGATGACTAATCTCAGGAAGGTTTTTGGTCCGTACAAGAAAATTCAAAATAAGGCAGAATTCTGCCATGTCTTGTGCCTCCATGAGCCATCCCAGCAGAATGTTGGAGCATGGTCATTCATCTGCAAAGAGGGAGGAAGGAGTTGACTGACTTAGTTGGATTGCAGGGAAGTGACGAGTAACTAGGTCACTCTCTTCTTCAATACTCCATAGGAAGTGACGCACTAGAGAAGGAAGGATGTTGCCTCTCTAGTGCATGGGAATGTGAAGGAAGTTTCTGTTAGTCACTTCTACCTTGCCTCTTAACTGGATACAATCTTTTTGTCCACAAATTTTCTGATTTTTTTAAAGGAGTGTATAGTAAGGATGAACTGGATACCCATGGCTTATTTGGTATCCCCTGAAGGCTCTGGACAAACGCATTTTCTTTGGATGTTTAGATTTATAAATTTGGCTCAAATTATGTAACTTGTAAATTTACTTTCATATACACTTTCTTATATACAAGTTATTAATTTATTTCAACAATTCAGATAAACAAGGCTGGATAACAGGCTCAGTAGTGAGGGCCAAGTAAATTGTTTTAAAGTTTTGTTTAGTTTTACTAAAACCTTTTACAGAAAGGAAAGGAGGAAGAATTTGAAAAAGAATTATGTAATCATAGAACATGTGAAATAACAAAACCAAGGTTTTCAACATTATTTTCAATAGTGATTACAAAATGGTCCCAGCTGTGCTATTCATATTATAAGAATCTAGGTTGTTTGAATAAACCTGAGGGGGAACAATGGATGTTAGAGAACTACTCAGAGAGTATTCCTAGCTGACTAAAGTAGTTCAAGAGGTAACTGCCTGTGCCTGCATTTTATTTCCTCTTATGTCTTATGATTTTGATGTGGGTTTTTTTGTTTGTTTAGAAATTCAATCTGGTTTTACAGTTCTCAAAGATAATGATGATGTGACTTCCAATGTCATTTTTGGGGATGTTTAATGCAGTCAGTGATTCTTCAAAAAAAGATGAAAAGTTACTGAGCCTGCAAACTGCATGATTTAAGATACATACGCTTAGCATAATAAATACAATCATCCTTAATTTTGTTAGTCTTATGTGTATATGTGTAATTATTGCTTGTAAATTTGTCTAACACATTATCCCTTAAATGTGACTCTGTCCTTGTGCACTGTTCTACATAGTTCTGCAGTTTCATGGTGTGTGAGGAAGACTGTGAAAGCTCTAGGATAGAGGTCTTGTTATTCCCTAGTGAATATCAGAATCAAACCTCTAACAAAAGTATGTCTTTCTTTTTACCATACTTGTATTGAGAGAAGCAAATTAACTTATTCCTTCAGAGTAAGCAACTACCATGCCTCACACACACACACACGGTTCTGATTTCAGGACCAATCTCTGTTCTACTATGTTTCACAAATATGTAGCTGAGAAAGGGCTTTCAATTACGTTTAAATCAAGAACCAAAACAAAGACCTGAAGGGTAATGTGACTGCAGTTGAGATCACTGAGTCTTGTCCCCTCACAATCCTTTTTTACTAACTTTCAGTGGTGAGAAGAGATATGAGCAAAGCCTTTAGCCTATTTCTGAAACACTCTGCTTTTACATGTCTCTTGGAAGAAGCTCTTAACTTTGCATCTGGATTCAAATGTAAAGCACATAAGCCAATTTCCAACCTGTAATGCCTAGAGAGGTTAGTTGGTCCGGACTGCATCATCTCAGGTCTAAGGTTGTTCATGAGGGAAATTCTGACTTTCTCCCACAAGGCTTCTCCCCAGGACACATTCCCATCTACTCCTGATGGTACTGATTATTTTCTGCCATTTTAGCACTTACATATGTGTCATGTTTCCTAAAATTAATTTGCTTGAAATGGAGAAATGAGTTTGATATTCAAATGAATTCATCTGTATCCTCTCTTATGGTGTCTGGTGTCTGTACCAATAGGCAGTTTTTCATGATCCATACCAGAGGATAGTTAGCTAGTCCTAAAACAGTTTCCCCCAAGAGTGATTGGGTAAAGACCAATATTTTTATATACTGTGTTGCTGTGTTTTCTGGCTGAAAGCAAAGCAAGAGTTCTGCCACTATGTACATCTGAAACTCAGTGGTTAAGCAGCCAGGACAGATTTTCCTTAAAAGCATGCAGACATTTGGCAAATCAGGTACTATTTCCATTTGACTGCCTTCCTTTTTAAGTAATAAAAGATCACAGCATAGAAAATGGAGCATTTGAAAGGTTGTAAGTAGTCTTTCCACTTTTTTTTTTCACTCACAGACTTGTTTTGAAGGGGTTTTAGTGGTGGCTTTTAAAGGTATTGAAGACATTACTTGTAGAAAAAGCAAAAGGCTCTCTTTGAGATTCTCCCAGAAGAGATCACCAGTACTTCTACGGGAACGTTATTTTTATATTCTGTAATTTTTTGAAGAGAGAGCTGTAACGACAGATCTCAATCATAGACTTATCTGCCTACTGACTTGTAGGCAGACTTGAAAGCTAAAACAAGCACCATACATTTCTTCCTTTTATACCCTGAAGTCCTGTATCAATTCTGCAATTTTTAGGGAAGATTGTCTGTTGAATTGGACAGACCATTGACTTTCTATTTAATTTTTGCTGTACCAAATAAGAAAACTGATATAATCTCCCTCACATTATCAGGGTTTTTTTTTTTGTTTTTTTTTTTTTTTTTTTTTTTTTTTTT